GTAATTAAGCAATGACTTACAGTCATACATCTGCCAGTTTTCGAATTTTTTGATTATGAATGGATTGGCTTAAAATTTTGACAAGAAGAAGTAGCTCACAGATCGAAATCTACTTATGTCGATACACACTTTCACCTAATCTCGGGAGTAATAACAACGGGTATCGACACATGTAAAGGACCGAGACAGGGATGCCCGCTTAGCCCAACCTCATTTAATTCTTATATAAGAGATATGGAAAAATATTAAGACAGAGACGCGAACAATACTGTAGTTGATTGTTAATTACTATTGTATCTTTAGAACATTGTTAACATTTTATTTGGTGTTATTTTTAAATCTTTAGAAGCTTTCTATCGTTAGATGGCTTTGTAGAAAGTCAACCGTCAAAAGCATAAAAAAATTCAAACGTTCTGAAATAAAAAAAATATATAACTAACAAAACAAAAACTTTCATGTTTTTCATAGGTCATTTTAAAAGATTTTGCATATCAATGATGATGATGATATCAATTTGAATAGTACGCCACGAAAAGCTATGTTGGAAAATATTAAAACAAAATAAAATTTTATGGAATCTGTCAGTTTGGTTCATTGGCATTTAAAATTCTGCCGTTGATTGTTGACTGAAAAATGGAATTTGGAAAACATAATTTAAACGGTGCCCTTTGCTCAACTTCTTGCTATTCTTCAAAATGGTCCGGTTCATTGAAGAAATATGGTTTCAGCGCGAAGGTGCTCCACTTGATGTTGCTGTAAACGTTAAAAAATTCCAAATCAACAATTTCCTGCGAGGTGGATAAGTCGAAGAGGCACTATAAATTGACCAGCGCGCTCTCTCTAGACCTTACGCCACTGGACATCTTCTTATGGGGACGGAATTGCATCAAAGAGCAACAAATAACACAAGAGAATATGAAAATGGGCATTCGTAATACTTTCGCATCCATACCGCCAGATCCAGCTATGCTTTCTAGTGTCAAATCGACAAATGTTTGGTATAGTGCGGAAGAGATTTTGAACATTTATTAAAATAATTGTTACTTTTATTTTTATGTAAGCTTTTTATATTGGTTTTTGTGGTTTTTTAGTTTTTGATTAGTTTTGTTTGGAGTAAATGTTTTACTCGTATATTTTGAATTGGTGTTTGTAATTTTTAACGGCCTACTAACTACTAGGCTTTGGAAATCGAAAAACGTTGTGAATTATTAAAAAGTTGTTGAATTAAAAAAAATGTAAAAGGTAAATACCGACATGATTATATCATTAAAAAGGTAATCAAATCCTACATTTGATGCAATAAAAAAACTTTGTAGTTCCATTTAAAAAAATGACATTTCGAAAATTGACGGAGTGGAGTTTTAACACACTTTTGCTAAGATACTTTTGTGCAAATTAAAACAAATTATTTCATCTATTTTTATGAAAAAATGACGAATTTCGGTCAATCGAATCAGTTTAGATGATATGTAATACAAAAAACCGCACGAAAATTGACCAAAGAATCGAAATATATGTATTATGCAATAATACGATAATACTTACAATTGCATGTTATACAGAGTGTTTTATATTAAAGTTGCATTTTTAAAATACAATCCCCTATGTACTATTGCATATTTCGATTCTTTGGTCAATTTTTGTGCGATTTTTTGTATTTTAAAAATGCAACTTTAATATAAATCACCCTGCATAACAATTGCAATTTCGTTGAAAATATTTTTTGGTTGTAGCCTTCAGCATGCTCCCACAATTAATTTTAAATATGCCCAACTTGTATTGTTGAAAATAGATGACACAAGAACACTTTGCAAAAATTAATCATTGTTTTACCATTTAATTTTGGGATTTGACGGTGCATTTTGCTGTCCCCTATCCGCCTTCAGATTTGGGTGATTTTAATACTCAAGGACTAGTTTTACTAAACTAAGCCCTTTTTAAAGTCGGGGGGAGATAAATAACTTAGTCCCCCTATTCCTCAATTTCCCTAAATAACATTTTCAACAGCTATAATTAATAAAATAGCGCCAAACTAATTTCACATAGGCATAGAAACTAGCAGTACAAATTCTACTTAAAAACTTCGTATTGACCTCCAAATGGGAGTATGAAAAAAGTTCTGATCGCGATTAAATTTGGTGTCTGCGGGTTCTTCAACATGAAAACAACGAATCCAAAATTCTAAAAAAGAGATTCTTGGTTTGACCACAAGAATGGTAAGAATTTCGCAATTTGATGGGTTATTTTTTCGTTTGGATCTTAAAGAAAATTATGTGCATATTATAGGGATCCCGCATTGTGAAAATCGAAAACAGTTTTTTTAACGTAACGTATTCTAGTAATCAGTGTATATGACGTATTTTTCTCATGGTGTGTGTTCTGCACGTCGAAATAGCGTATTTTTAAGGTCGTATCCAAAAACCTAAACAACTACATTAATTCTATCCTCCTATGAAGAAAAAGTTAAAGGAGAAACGCAAATTCCTTTCGGAGTATAGCTCCCAAACAAATCATTTTGTACTTTCAGTGTATTTGGAATCAAATATTTAGTCCTCTTTACAACCCCAATGGCACAATTATTACACATTTTACATATCTGCGATTTTTTCACAATCATTGGATAACTGTGTGTGGTCCTTACATAACAAAAAGGACATTATTTCAGTAGTGAACGAAGAATTTGATTTGCGAATATCACAATAAGCAATTTAAATTAGATAGATTAATATCAATGAAAATAAAAACAACTTACGCTCGCGCCGGTTTTTTTGCAGAAGGTACTCGAATTTCGAACCACTAACTGACAAAGACGAACGAAATCTACATAAGAGAATTTCTAATTTATATTTTAGAGAAGTGTTGCCTTATCGTACACATGTGTCGTTTTGGTTCCGAAATGAGGACTTTTAAAGCGTTATCAACTTGCACACGTGTTCAAAGTTTCACCGTAAAACAAAACGCAGGTGTGACTTGCTATTTAGAAAACACCACATCCTCGCATACTTTTTGATTTTACTGCATCATGCCCATGATGATTCATAACGATTGTAATTGCAATTATCTTTAAAAATATCTCTAAATTGGGAGATTTCGAAATACTATCACGGTAGGGCACTGATGAAAGGTATGAAAACTTGCTTGGGACGAAAATGTTTGCCGAAGGAAACTGTCTTACAGGAAAAGCTGTTGCATTTTCATATCATTAAAAATTGAGGGTTGGGTTCTTGGCCAAAATTAAGCCCCTGTGTTAGACATCAACAATAAATCCGCACAGTTTTGTTGTTTATCAGCGTTTAGTTAATATGAAAAATCATAATTTCTCACTCACCTTGTTTTGATTCAGCAGTGAAAAAGGAAAAAAAAGAATCCCTGGCACTACGTAATAAAACATTACAAAACGAGAGGTAGGTAAGTCTTTTCAACTGTGTTCGAGATCGACACAAACGGAATGAATGATTTACTACATTTTGGGAAAAACGTCGCTGCCGTTGGTATATCAAAAGTGGGGTGATCGTTCAGGTTCCTTATCAACGTGCTAACTTACTGCACGCTTTCGAAGTTGAGATAAAACGAACCGTGCAGTAAACGCGATATCGAAAGTCTTTATGATTTTTAAACCCAAAATAGGTAATTAAAAAAATGACAATTATGAGCTCTTCTGCATCATGCTTGTTCTCCTAATTAAGTTCGTGAATTTATTTTGTCATTAGGCGAAATGGACGTCGTAGGGCACCAGGGACGTCTGTATGATTTTCTTGTAATGCTGATCTTAACGTTGTTTGAGGAATCAAATTCCAAAAGAAATTCTAAATCGTATTTGTAACGAGGACTGGTACAACTTACCCATTAGATTTTTAGCACGTTATTATGGAGTTACTAGAGTACTTGAGATACACACACACACGCTGATGTGTCTGTACACAGATCTCGGACAAATCTCAACAGACGAACAGGCCGCGTCCTGTCACTGTTTCAGTTCTGTAGTACTAGTCCCTGGGTTGTGTGGTGTTGAGCGAGCGCTGTGCTAATTGCTGTGGATAATAATTTGGAACTTCCTTGAGCCAGAAAACATAGTCTCAGCACGTAACTTTTGAAAATTTGAAACAGTTCTTGACCCCACAAGGAACAATCGTCACTGTTAACTTTCACTTAAAACGGAATCGTATCAGAGAGCACAGGAAGTAGCTAATAGAAAAGTTACTCGCGAGCTAATATTTGACAAGCTCCGTAATATTAAAAAAATAAAAAAGACATGATTGCAATTAACTTCTTGCGAAAAGTGGTAACAATGTTCTACAATTTGCTTCTAAAAAATATACACAGTAAATGCCCTAATCGCCCTAACTAAATTGTGCACTCTCTGGTGGGTTGCTGTATCAACCTGGCGTTGGTCTGTCTGGTATTTTTGAAAAGAGAAGTTAATATCCCATCTTTTTAGATTAAAATATATATGGTGTTCCATTTAAAAAAAAAAGGAGGTTGGAACCGATAACTTTACGTGACCCTGTATACTTATTTTGAAAACGGCATATTATATTCAACAATTACATTACAAGTATATTACGAATGTAGTAAACATGTTTCTGTATCCCTTAAAACTAAAAAGATACAGGGTCTTCCTGGAATTGACAATTTTTTATTTTCCCCTATATCTCTTAAGCGAGGCAACATTTTCAAATTTTATTTGTACCATTTTAAGTTTGGCTCAAAAAGAGCACATTGCACAATTATGGAGATACTCTAGAAAAGAGGGTGTAAGAAATGTGGGAACGTCCACAGATTTTTGTTCATCTTATTTGTAAACAAAGCGCATGGAATCTCTTGTCTCAAGACAGTGCAAACCTCGCCCAAAAGGTTTGTATCTTTCTTATACGTGTAATTAATAATTACTTGTAAAATTAATGGGCTTACTGTCTGCAAGAATTTTATATAACTCTTTGAGACTTGTCCAATAAGCACTTATTTTTCCAGCTCTGGGAATCTGGGTGTATGAAAATACGTTTTTCAACAAAGATTTTTATTTACATATAACAATCTTATCCTATTATAACCACTTTGAAGACATTAATGATTCTCTAGCTATATTATGGATTTCTTTACTTAATGGAACTAAAACAAGAGATAGATATTAAATGAATAAAAAACAATGTTTGCCTTACATATTTTGTGTTGACCTTGCATGGAATGGAATAGTGGAAGTATCATAGGCTTAGAACAAATGAGAACATAAGGACTTTCGCTTTCACCAGTAGCATAAATCTCACGGTACTGATCTTGGCTTAGGCAATCTTCCACAAAAACACATCCTAACAAGCAGCTTGTTGGATATTTCTTTGGAAACACCAATTGTTGATCTAAAATTTGTTCAAATTTAAATTTTAAAAAATATGAATAAAATCATACTATTGTAAATAGCACGGTACATCTGCTCCACTTCCAACAGTTCGTCATTATTAGGTTCCTTAGATGCTGCATGAATCCACAAACGTCCTCGATGTTCTGTATACCACGTTCTACCTTCATGTCTAGAATTTTAATATGGATAAAACACTCAACAATATGATACTAACATTTTAATTCCAGCAACTAAAAGGCTAGCCCACGGCTGGTGCATACTTAAACACATTCCTCGATCAATTTCTTCCAAAAATGCGTCATTTGCAACTTTAACCTTGCTAAAGGCGCTTGGAGTATACAACTGATTTTTATCCGAATATACTTTAGACACAATGTCATCCCACTTCTGAACCTAAAGTCGAAATTTGTTAGTAAAGACTAGTAAAAACTTTGACTTACCCTCAGACTCTCTGATAATCTTTTTTCAGTAGCATCAAGATGAGTATTAACAGCTGCTAGTAGACTGTCTCTATTTTTATTCTTTTCCTTAGTCTCGGATACAACAGTTCGTGACGCAAAGTCAAGTGCCAGTTTCATATCCTTAGCAGATTTGTGTATTTTTGGAACATTTGATTTATCCCCAACATTCCACCCATCTGAGCTGTAGTATTCGGATTGTTCATCGTATATCTTTCTCCTGTCCTCCCTAGAATCGAGACTTAATAATATGTCTAGTTAGTAACTCGACTTCACAATACCCATCTCTGTCGGCTCTAACTAGTTTATCTCTAGCTTCGATTGCCTTCTTCCATTCTTTTGACGTTTTCTGTTCAAATAATTGACTATGTAGCTTATCGGATAAATTTGAATTTGACTCCAAGATGTGAAATTCTTCATTTGTGCATACCTATAATTCCAATTTTTTAATTGAATGTGACAATCTTCTGAAGGTAAATTGAACAATAATGTATGAACAATTGACCCAAGGGGTGATCCACTGTGGCATTCGGCATTTTCACATAAACCAATAATTTATGAATGCGACAGAGGATGCTGTGCAGAACAAATTTTGATAAAATAATTCAACTTTGAAAAGGCAACGTGTTTATAAACTTGCTTATGAATATACTAGGAGATTAAGACTTTTTAGGCTTATGGATAACCCCTTGTTTGAAACATACCAGCGTATCACAAAAGAAACATGGGCCTGAACCCTCTTGCGCACATACAATTCGTCCACACTTCAGGCAGTTATTAATAAGGGGATGATCCCTTGCCTCGCAATTGCAAGGTTGGCGACCTGCAATTCAAACATGTGAAAACTTGTAACACTCATTACTCATTAAGTCATTACCTTGTTTAGGACCAAGCTTAAAATTATATGTATCTACATTGACATTCTTGCCTTTTTTAGAACTACCGCTCGGATGTGTAACAGAGCCTTTCTTATTACTCGCCGATTGTGGTTTCTGGCCCATAGGAATTTCGGATTTCTTGCCATTATTTGCGTTACTCTTTGATTTCTTTTCACCTGAGTTCCCACCTTTTTTTGACCGTAGTGTGCTATTACCGTCCTTTGCCGCTTTCTCTGCTTGTCTTTTTTCAGAGAAAAGTTTGGCCTTCAAATTATCGCATATTTTCACGTGCCTTGTTATGCTACGATCAATTATATTTGCTATAAATTCGTCAAAATCCTCTGTGCTCTTCATGTCTTTGATGTAACTATTGGACGAACATTAATCGAGAGAAGGATGTTTGAAGAAACTTACGCAATAATTTCATCGTCGACGTCATTGTTGAGAAGAGGTTTTAAGTTATTTCGAATAAAATCGTCCAACTCCATTGTTAATAAATTGCAGTATACAGAAAGGATGTAACTAAAGCAAAATATAACTTGGGTTATGATCAAGAAACATTAGAGCTACGAAATAGTTCTATTGTTGAAGTAGAGGTACATTGGCACTACTTTTGCAAAATAGACCAAAAAAAGAAAAAACGCTTTCCACAACGATTAATGAATATTATAATATAATATAAGTACAATAATTAAATAAGTAATTCAATGGTACAATCCATTCGCCTACAAATATTAACTTTATAATGCTGTACAGTTAAAATTTTTGGAATAATCACTGCTCGTAAAAAATATACTACAGTCTACAGTCTATACTAGGGCAGCTTATCGCCAAAACTGTTTTAAAGGTGTAAAGAATTAAAATTTCTTATAATATACCTCACTCTCCAAACAATACACTAGGTCATTGATTATATAATCAAGGTATAGTAGGTACCTAATATTTAAGCATTAAGGTTGTGGAACCATTGATAGGAAATGAACATCCAACTATATTACATCTATCATTTTTTTACAAAATAAGTAATGGCTCTGCATATATTCTTTTTCCCCAAAGTTGCCAGCTGTGAGTATAGGGTAAGTCAAGATTACAGTACCAGTTTGAAGGACCCCTAAGAACATTAGTAGTCAAAACCCTGAAATTTTTCAGGCCGACTTCCTAAGCTGAAATTGGCCTCCTAAGTTTGTGTAAAATTTGATCGTTTATTTTTTGAGATATTTAATACTTTATCATAATAAAGATCTTCGAACGAGCAATAGGTACCTAATTAATAATGTAAACCTCGTACTGATGTACTCATACTCACAGTCACAGTATAGTACCTATAGTAACTTGGTAAGTAGGTATAGGATGTGTGACAGAAGGGACCAGTTTATATATAACTACTTAGGACTTAGGTATGTGTTCAAATTCAATGTTAATCAGTCAAACCTAACATGGCGATAATTTATTGCTGAGTGGAAGGGGATCCTAAGTTGCTCCCCATCGGTAGATACAATACAAGTATTTGACGAGTACCGCTTCCTTTTGTTCTCTCCAACTAGGAAACCATTTCGCATTTAGAGGAAACTGGCAACTCTATTCACTTTGCATAAAGTTTTGTTTGCTATGTTCTCCATAGAGGGAAGATTATCAGAAAGGGTACGAGAGCTGGTGGTACATAGCTTATATGCTAAAAATGTTGCACAATCATGAGATTAACGATCTTACCGTAAACCTTCTCAACAAGAACTGCGTCGTTCGTTTTGGAGTAGGTACATACATAACAGGTAAAAGAAAATTGCTTTTCTGTAGATATGTAGGAAATTTCTAGAGAGCAAACATGTAGTGAAGAATCAAACCAGTTTACATCATATTATTTTTAATATTTAAGTCAGAAACAATTAAGCTTAATTCGTATGTCATTAAACTTAAACAAACATTGTACACATTGAGCTTTCGTATAGTGTTAACAGAACTTAGAACTAAATACTGCAGACATATTTGTAGTGCAAGCAAATTCGCATTTTTGAAAGCAACCCCATATTCTTATTCAAAACAAATCAATCAAGTATATAAATAATAAAAATAGCTACCATCATTTGATTGATTATCCCATTTTATGAATGATGTACCTACCAGTTGTATCTACTTACTTTGGTTATTATTGTTCATAAAGCACATTAATGATACAATGCAACACGTAGAGATGTGAGATAATTTTAAAATGTTTATGAGATATACTTTAAAATGAGAATCAAGAGTTAGAATAAAGAAATTTATTATAAATTTCGGGCACTTAGTGCTTATGTTGTTATCCTTTTATGTACTTAGTTTTCAAAGCAGTCATCACGAAAAAATAATGCAGCTATGGTCGCTCAAAGGCTCATATTGATTTAATCAGGTTTGTTCCTCCAAGAAAAAAATTTGACTATTTATTGGTATAATTATTTGTTACAATCTTGGCTAGAAAATCGCTACACCAACTGTCTGATGTCTATAAAAAGTGGAAACAGAACAAATGACATAACATTAACAATTTTAAAATTCCAATGTCTTTATTGCAGCGATGCAATGTTTAAAATTTGCACTCCTCTTATATGCATCTAAACTAGCTTTAATGTACTTATATCGATACCCTGTATTGTAAATTCTGGTCGTTCTAATTTGTTGGTTTTATTCGTTAAAGAGCAGCACCTTTACTTACATAGTAATCCAGGATTCCTTACCTATGTATGTGTGCGTCACTTTTACTATTATAATAGCTCATGTGCCAGATTAAAATCCAAGATGCCTAATTCATGTTAAGAATTAAGTACGACTAGTATTTTATTATGATTTCAATAATTAAATAATAAATTTATTGCTAATATAAGCTAGTACGAAGTTGCACAGTTACCTACGCTAAATTATAAAGTATATGTACATATAAATAAATACTGATACAATTATAACTTAATTTAGTTGTAGATACTAATAAGCTTAAATAAACAAAAACAATAACAAATGAAAGTAATACAATAAAAGGATCTAATAGTAAGAAAAAAAGTAAATAAATTATTATAAATATTAAAACATTGTACCATCAAAAGAATTATTTTACACCTTACAGTCTACTAGGTACATTAAACAGCCTGATTTGTTGCTTGACGACCGTTCATGTTAAAGCAACTTATATCCCTGCTGCCACCAAATCTTTTATAATTACATGGAAATAATGTTGAAACATATTTGGCCTGAAATAAAACAAAGTATGAAGGAAAAAGAATCTAGTTTGCATCTTTTATGAGAAGTGAGATGATTAAAATCTGCACCTCAGTTAGTGATAATCACTGTTTTAAAAGTGCAGAACGAACTGGCGAAAAATTCCTATTTTAAGAATCTTACACTATCTTAGACAGCGTGCTGTACTTTCTGGAGCCTAAACATGCTACAGTTTAGCTAAGCCGAAATCTATATACTCGTAAGTATCTACTTAAAAGTATTCTGCTAAAATAATAAAGGTCTTATGTAAAAGGTAGTCTCAACATTGTAACCTACATAATGGCGCCAAACATTTCTGGGCGATTTTGATGAGCATTAACAGAAGTGTACATTTTGAAGCTCCTCTTACACTACGAACAAAGCAAAGTGTCTACTGTAATAATATATCTCAAGACATTATATGCACTATAAAGTAATAAACATTTAAATAGAAAATGTTAATATAGCATGCTTGTGTTAGTATATTTAGGCTAGGATGGTATGGGATCGTATTCTTCTCGGTATATCTCATTAGTGGATGGTTTAGTTTTGTTAGTGTAGTCCGCAACAAAAACAGCCTAAGAAACAATAGCCATTAGAACTATGCCATTGAATTGTATAAGCGCGTCTGTTTTTTTAACCCTCTTAAGGCATAATAGAATATCGTGCAAGAAAGAAATATTTCCCATGTTTTCATTTGACAAGACAAACCAGATAAAATTGATTACACATGGCAATTCTACCCAATGGAGTGATATCCCATAAAGTTTTTTTACTCTATGGATATACCTACGGCTCAAGCATTATGTTCTTCTGTTGTCACAGCAATTTCGTTATTAGACTCGCTTTGTCAGAGCTTTTACAGTCTGCGCAAATTTAAAGATCCCTGAAGACCTAGAAAAGTATAAACTAACAAACTTAGGCTTAGTGACAGCCATAACTAAGCAGAAAAGGGCGTAGCGTCATAAAATTAATTGTATGGATTCCTTCAACTTTGGCGATACATAAAGACTTCTGAGAAGATTTTTTTGTGAGTGAAGAACTCCCAGAGTTATCTCGGCGAGTGGAGGAAGTTATCCGACCCTGAAAGAAGGTAGCTGCGTTCTTGCTCAACATTATGACGGCAAACAAGAAACGGAGACAGGTGGTCGTTTGGAGGTCTAGTCTCCAATTTATTGCTGTAACACTAATGGAAAATTTTTAATATGTTGTTATATAACTAATGTCCCCACAAAAACCTTGAAAATTTTGAAGAAAAGATGATACACGACTGTCTTAAATACTGTTGATGGTGTTGTAGAGCGTTGCTAATCCAATCTGATAAACTCATTACTATAGGGAGTTTTACCGTCTCCTTCGATCCCAAAATTGACGACCAGCTAACCAAAAATAGAATTACTCGTTTTCACCGCCATTCTGTATAATGTTGTTTGTTAGGCGGTTTACTTCCGGTATGCGTTTTTTTTTTTGTTTAAAATGTCAGCTAACTTCACCAAGCAGTTCATCAATTTTAGAAGACATATTGATGTATGTTGTGGTGTGTCCAAATCAATGGAGATTTTGTTTCTTAAAAGCCCCACTTTCAATTCTACTGACATCATGCTTCCTAACATTATGTTACGTTCGACATGCTTACTATGCATCCATATAATTAGTAACTTACCACAAGAATTGCAGTTATTGCCCCAATAAGAAAACCAGAAAGAACATCACTCCAGTGATGTTTATAATCTGACACCCTCGTCATTCCTGTGTAAATAGATGAGGTGATTGCGATAAATTGAAGAGTATGCCTCAATAGTTTTGATCCGTCCCACGTCATCCTAGCTTGCAGGTAAATCTATAAAAAATAAATTCAAATCGTCGCAGGTCACGATTAAAAGTAGGTACATACAGCAAAATACACCATCGAATACATCGAAAAAGACGAATGACCCGATGGAAACGACAGCCTAAAAAATACGGTTACCCCCGCAACGAAAAATTTTACCTCACCTCATTTCTTTTAAAATCCGTTTTGTATCTGAATACAAAGGATTCGTGCAATGGAACTCTTCGTGGTACACAAAATGGTTCTTCGGATCGTTACAGTCTATACTTGGTAAACACACTGTGTAAAAATGCGGCCTTAAACGACCGATAGTGTATTTCATGACATCGGTTGTCAATTGTGAACAAGCTGCCCCAAAACAGAAAACCCCAACAACACAGTACGTGTTCCACACCCAATAAGGAAATTTGCGCCCTAGAATGGTAAATTCTCGCTTTCTGTCGCTAAAGTAGCAGTTGCAAAATTCCGTTACCATCATCTGCAATAAAAAAAATTATATCAGTGATTTTGAAGAATTACTCTTATATGTAGGTATATTCTTTATCGCATCAGAACGTTATGAAAAAGAAAGCAATAGTCTTTATTAAAATAGTGGTCTGTTACTTTATGTGAAACAAGTACCCCAATGAAGAGCAGATAATAAAGAAATACAATAATATAAAGACTTTACTTCAATACCAGTACCTATTACAGACTTGTGTGCACTAAAACTTGACCCGGGGATCATGCTTAACGACTTATTTCCTGGTGTAATTCAATATAGTCCGGGCGAGAATTTTCAGATCTTAACTTCTAACGGCAAATCTTGAGACATTTTGGTGACAAGTGTTTTTAGGGTAATTGGACCCTGCTGAATCCGATTTTGCCTGTCACCACCTCGAATTCCGGCTGCTAAGGCCTTAAATCAAGATTGCGCCCAAAATGGCGACTAAAACTCACTTTAAAATTTGTTGTTGTTGTAACCAAAGATATTATCATGATATTTATCTAGTACCTACATACGTTTAATTATTTATTACTATTGTATAAAAAAATATGTAGCCAAAGACAAATTAAGATGGTGGTCAAAATGACGGTAGAAACTTGTGTTAACTAATTGCTTTAGTTGCAAAGAAAAAATTTGCATTTTTTACATGGGGTTGGTTCAAATAGGTTAAAATGAGTTATTGTCTACCCACCATTGTTAATAATAACAATTTGCGAAAAAAATAAAACAAAATGGTTCCCAAAATGCGGATATTTATATGACTTTTGATGATATTTTATTAGCAATTATCGAAATCTTTTTGAGTGGGTTAAGGAGGTATTAATAATTATCTTATAAGATCCTTATAAAATTTTTTTTGTTTTACAAATAGAACGCCAAATATTGTTTATACAGCGTTTGAAACGCACGCGTAATTTAGGACCTTCCATCACGGCGACGACGCAACGCGCGCAAAATTACCGATAGCGCGAATCTGCTGGCTACTGGCTACATGCTAGGTTCAATTATTATACTCGTATACCAAGTTCGAAATATTTTGACTCTGGGTGTGCCGTGCCGTGCCAAAAGCATGCCAAAGTTTGGTACATTGTGGTTGCAACAAAGGGTGCAAAACTAACATGTGCAAGTGCCGGAGAACTGTAAATTTGAAAGGCAAACGCATGCTGTTGCCAATGTAAAAAGCGTTTGCACCAACAACAAAAGCGAAGAAACTCAGCTTGTGCAATCTTCGGATTCAAGTGACGAATCCGAATAAAGTCTAGGTAATGTTTTTGCTCATTTATATTTTTTTAAGTGTTTTCGATTTATTTTTTTATACAGAGTTTGTATACGGTAATAAATAATATGAAATTAAACGAAAATAATGATTTTAATACTACCTGTAGGTATATCGCAATCGCATACAAAGAGTCCACCTAAGCGCGATCTTGTCCGCCATTTTTGAAAAAGTGTAAGTAAAGCCTTCAAAATTTTTCATAAAGTAGTACCAGGTAAGTGGCAAAACGTATGTGCTACATAAAAATCATCATAATATTTTTGTTTTCAACAAGAAAAAAATGTAAAGTTAGAACCTTTATAAAGCGCTTTACAGAATTTCTCGCCCGGACTAATACTCCAATGAAGAAAATTTTTCAATACCTAATAATAAAAACTCTATTCCATATTTAGTTATCTGGATATAAGCGGCGTTTGCTTCCTAATGGGTTTGGTTTGTAGTTTCGTTTGTCAATATAGCAACAGGTTGTTAATATTTCCGTTTTTTATATCCATTTCGAGTGTAAAACGCAACGAATTGATCATTTTTACATTATTATCGTAACCAAGACAAAATTTCCCTAAACAATTTAATTTAAGGGTAATATTCAGGACAGATACAGAACGAATTTAGTCGCAAGCAATATTCCTAAGCAATTCTGTAATTTAATTGTAGGTAAATTTCGAGTCTTACTTTGATTGATCCAGCCCCCCCCCCTCTACTCAAAATAAACTTTAAAAAACCGCAATTGCTTCTAAAAAAGCTGAAATGAATATATAAACTTGAACTAAGTACATAAGAAAATGTGATCCCAAAAAGACCTTGACGCCAAATGCTAGGTTATATAAGGTATAAATTGATTCTTGGACATTCTTAATTAACACATTACATACAGATATAATATGTAAATTGCTTTAACGAGATTTTAATTCAACATATACCTGTAGCGTAATACATGGAGAACTGAAAGTAATTAATTAAAGTATTAATTGGAGCATCTGCCACTGCAAACATTGTACCTGCGCCTACGAAAACTTATCTCAATCATTTAAGCATGCAAGGTAAAAATGTACAGGAAGGATTTATTCGCATACATAGATCATAGACTTCACGTTGTATGTACATACGTTCTACGTCTAAACTACGCCATGCGGACGTTTTGTTTGGTGGTTATTTTTTAACGAGTAAATGTGGTAGTTTTTAGATTAAACGCAAATCTGATCATATTTGAATTGGAGGGCAATTTTATTTTGTATCAGAATTATTTATTGGGTGTTTATTTTGTTTATTTCATTGTACATTTTGATTTTCGTGTTAAAAGATTAAGGTTATTTTATTCATCTGGAATTATTTGTGTAGTATTTGTGAGTATTTATCTCATGTTTTTCTCCGGTCATCGCTGCAGAAGCTAATTAGTTTCAATAGCACGTGCTATCGCTGAAGTAAGCAGATGCTAATCCTTCGAAGACGCAGTATTGTGGTAAGGAAGGAGGAACGGAAGTAAGAAAGGAAACTTTGATCACGGCCTTTAGGTCTAGCTTGTTTAGTGTTGGCCGTTTGAAATGTAACTGTTGGTTTTGGTGTATTGCTGTATTTGAGCGTATTTGAAAAGGCAGCCTGTCTTGTTTAATTGTAAAGTATCAAAGGCCCAATGCTATAATTGTAATTACAACGACACCAGTGTCATTTAAATCGAGATTTAGCATCGAGAATATCATCAGATTATGGTTTTTGATTCATATATATGTGCTCCGGTTTGATGAAAAGTGCAATTATGACCGGATGGTAAGAATTATTTACCTTGGGGAAAATCATTCCATCTCTCGATAAATTAATTTGGCAAATAAGTAGTTGATAACGATTGGAACAACAATGGTATCCATGGAATTTATTCGGAGAATAAAGTTATTGAGAAGTGGAAAAAAGGCCTTAATGTAATTAAAACTGTATTTAAATTAAATTTGTTCTATCGATCGCTCGTTCCGTCGTATTTGTTTTTCTGACACTGACCGCCCATATTTCATCCAGTCATCAGGTGATTGTGATGTGATTTTAACGTAACGTAACCGGGTAACCCGTTACAACCATTTGATTCATACTTTGCTACGTAATATCCTCACATCCACTCATTACCATAATAGCCACAAAGTATTGTGTATTGTATCAAAGTAAATAATGGATGTACAATATAATGAAAATGAAATATTTATACTCGTATATCTACCATCAGTAGGTATACAACCGCCCGTATACAAAAAAACAAAAATCAATAGAACAGCGATTGAAAATGAAGGCAATGTAGTTTCGCTTCTGATGTAATGTCGTTTCAAGGTAAATAGACAATTAGTTATACCCGCGGGAAAACTAGCTGTGCTTTATTCAGTAAGTAGGTGCCTTTTGTGCAGTGACGACCTTTTTGATTAGAATCAGAATCTACGAGGATGCTCTACTTAAACTTGCACTTAATAACTTTAGTAACCCTGATGTGGTCTTCTACACACGCATACGGTTTTCATCAGAAAGAAAATTATACCTGGACATTGTCGTGCGTTTCACGTTTAATTGAGCGCCTCTTTGTCATTGGAGAGACAATCTACACTGTTTCAGATACTCCTGATGAAGACCACATCGTTCACACCCTGCGCAATCCTTTAATCTCCGTGGATCCATTCAGCAAAGCATATCCGACTGGAGATAGTTATGCGACCAACTGGGTGATACAAGCGGATAGCGCGAAGTCTGTCATCGAAATTATGAATTTGATCGTAGCGAGCACCTTTTGGAATAGTACTCTATCGCCACGTGGAAAATTCGTTTTCGTTCTGCCTATCCAGCAATAACTTAACGGTGATTTTTATGAAGCTGTGGAGGTGCGGCATTTTGAATGCAGTCGTTGCGATTCGAGGCCTGCAAGCGGTTGAATTTTATACCTGCAATCCTCACCATGGTAACAATTGTGGAAAAACGGCGACTAATTTCCAACTTGAGAGGTGCACATTTGAAGAACTGCGTGTGACGTTCCAGAGGGATTTAAGGACTTTCTACGATTGCCCGGCATATTATGTAGTTCCAGATATTGGCTTGCATCAGTATACAAAAAAGATATGCGCGGGAACACGTTGTCACACTGGCATGCTCGTGTTAAAAACGGTTAGTGAGAAGCTTAATTTGCGAATAGTGCCAGTTCTCAATCACTATAAAATAGTAAACAATTCTGACTTGGTTATCTACCCCGGAATACGACAATTAAAAGACTATTTGGACGAGAGTTTAACAATCGAGACCACTAAGACGTTCTTTGTTGTCCCCCCTCCACTAAAAGTGCCTTTGATACAAATGCTTGGGTTTATTTTCAAAAAGCAAACATGGCTCCTTGTTCTAGTTTTCCTAATATTGAAAATAGTGCTGTGGTGGTTCTCGCTTTTAAGTATTAATCCCAGCCATAGAGGCATAAGACTATTGGAAGCATTTACCGACGTAGGTAGTAGCCATCCTCCTAGGTAGTGCAATAAGCAGAGTTGTGAAGAAGGATCTACTGAAGTGACTGCTGTTAGTTTTCTTATTTTACTGCATGCACATTCAAATTGCGTTTACATCGAACCTCTTCAATCTTTTAACAATCGAAAAACACGAAGGGGCGATTAAAAGCATTGAAGAATTGGCCGATTCCGACCTTCCCATATGTTCACCGGATATTTATCGGCAAGAGATGGACAACGCGACTTCCGAAAACAAT